AACATATGAGCCATTGGGAGAGGGAAGGAAAGAATGGAAGAAAGAAGGAAGGAAGGAAGGAAAAGAGGAAAAGGAAGAAGGAAAGAAAGTAAAGGAAGAAAAGAAGAAAGAAGGAAGGAAAGAATAGGCCATTTTATTNACCTAATTAAATTATATAGTTGTCCATCTTGCAAAATGCTATTCTGGGCATAGTTGGCCATCTTATAAAAAGCTATTGCCAGTCTTGGTAGGAATATGGTTTCCTCCTGGATGTTTCCTTAATTAGGGTGTTACTTCCTCCCTGATTATTTGGTGGTATTTCTTGCTTCTCTGGGCTTCTGGACGATGTAAAATCTAGGCTGTTTATTTCCTTCCTAGGCTTTTGGTTCTATCTTTTAAATGGTATTTAAAGGGGTTTATTTCTGTGTGTCCATGGAGAGCTGATTTGTCTGAAAGCTAAGCTACCACAAATTCCTTAGTAGTTTTCGATTTGGCTTGATTTAAAATTTTAAATTTCTGGTTGAAACTGTGATTGAGCTGTCCATATGTTGCAGAAATGGAATTTTTGTCATGTTTTTATATTGCCAATTGATGTTTATGGGTACAGTCCAGCAGTCTTCTACCTTTCTGTCCCATTTAGTGATTGTTGTAGTCCTTACATTGTGGGAAATGACTCCTATTTTTTCTTCTTTGAGTATTGGGTTTGTGTATTTTCTTAAGGAATAAGCAAGATTCTTGTTTCAGTACTATGTGCCAGTGGATGAAAATATAGATTGAAATGTATGTAAGAGCATCTTTTAAAATTCTTTCTTTCTTTCTTTCTTTCTTTCTTTCTTTCTTTCTTTCTTTCTTTCTTTCTTTCTTTCTTTCTTTCTTTCTTCATTCTGAGAATCACTCTCACTTATTGAAGAGAAACATGGCTTTCTTTTTCAAAATGCTGATTAGGAAATCCTGAAAGTTAAACCTCCTGAGGTCTTATTATCCAGCCAATTTCACGCTTGCATGTTGAGTTCAGTTGAAACTGGAATGTGCACAATGATGTGGAAATTGGAACCATGGAGTTTCATGGCTACAGTGTAGGGTACTTTTCATCCAAAGAGTGACTGCCTTTTGATTCTTTAAACTAGAAAGCTCTCTTTGAAATCAGTGGGATTGGTGAGACTGTGAAAATAGCCCACACTTAATACATTTTTTTTCTGCTTACCTATTATCACATTTTAAATTTTGCTGTTTGAAATAGTTTGATGGCATGTACAGATACATTGCAACCATCAACAATTGAAAAGTAGTTGGTTTCAATCAGTGGTGGGTTTCAAAAATTGTTCGAACCTACTCTGTGGGTGTGGCCTCCTTTGTGGGAATGGCTTGCCGCCCATATGACCGGATGGGAGTGGCTTGCCACCCATGTGACCGGATATGAAGATGCCGACTGGCATGCATAAGAATATGATGTAAACTTGTTTTTTTTTAA